CTGGGCCCACAGGTCAGCCTTGCTGAGGCCTGAGGCCCAAGTCCCCAGGGCCTAAGTCCCTGATCCTGCCTTTGGGCCAGACGTGGCACATTTCAACTAAGCTTAACCTCCCCTTGGTGCAGCAGGACATGTGTTAGGGTTGATTTTAAACCTTTTTGGTCTTCCAGGCCTGCCTTGATGCCTCTCCCCCCACACTCCTATTTTTCATGAAATGCGGGCCAGCAAGGAGAAGAGAGTTCAGTGCATCTGTTCACCACCAACACTGACAAACAGCACAGGGAAGTGTTTCTAACCTGAAATGTATTGGCATATCTAACCAAAAACCACTTGATTTCCCCTGGAAAGCAAAAAGCTGTGAAACACCATTACTAGTAGGTTGCCTTTGCATGTGAAGTAATTGGATCAGGAAATAGGAAATATGAGGCAGGAGAGCTTAGCTGTCATTTTACAAAAACAATTAAATGCATGAAATGTATCTTAATGATATAATTAAGGCAGAATTATAATCCTCCATTAGTAGTGGCATTAATTATTGCAAGCACATTACAGTCAGTATCACTGGAATGAGGAAACCCTTTGTTATGCAGCTTTATTAAAAAACATCAAAATAAAAGCAGATTATCTGATCTTCAAGAGAAGCTCCAACACAAAATTTCTTTTGAACAAACCCGGATTACGTTCATCTATTCAGGCTGATAGGAGAGGTCAAAGCATCAGAGGGAAGCCACTGGAAAGCACTACATGACTGCTAGGGCTGGCCATGGGCTGCCATAGAAGGTGCATAGCAAGCAAGTTGTGTGAAGTAGGGTGGACTTGTACCATCAGAGGCAGTACAAGCTGTTGTTGCAAGCCATATGCTTGCTAGAGATGTATACACCCCACACACCTGGGGTTCAGCATTTCCAAGGCTGAGACATCAGAGGTCAATCCATGGCTGGGAAGCTGCTGCCTGGAAGCCCCAGCCTCCAAAGGAGCCCCAAACATTGCTCAGGCAGTCACTCCTGGTGCAAAACAAATCCTATAACCTCATATCACATACAAATCTTACATGGGTACCCAAAGGTGGAATTTGGTCCTCGAGCAGCCACTGAACACAACCATATCATCCATTCTTCCTAAGCAGGCTTTTAGCTTCCCTGCCTTCCCCTCAGCATCCACCACCTGCAGAACACAATAGGTCTGTTTCAGTTTTACAGCTCAGACAAGGTTCTAAGTTTTGCTTCCAGGGTGTCAAGACGGTCAGCTTGGCACCGCAGAGACCGGAACTTTGGAAACGAGCTCAGCTGCTGCGGAAGGAGCCAGTGATGGGCTGCTAAAGGCCTTTGGATGTTGCTCAAAACTGTTTTACACACTGGGACAAGTGGTGGCATCGCTGATCTCAGGTGTGAAAACACAAATACACCTTTCCAACCAAAGCAGGAAGCCATCAACTACATTTCCCCTGTGGGCACACTTATTTGGGACTCTAAGCAAACTTAAGAAGTCTTCCATGTGTATATTGATTTTTGTCACAAAATTCAGCTCAACAAACAAAAATTAGGAAAAGTTAACCCTCCTCCACAGACAGCTATGCAAGTCCTAGGTGATGACTGCCAGAGGACGAGCAAATGCATCAGTTGAGTGATGATGTGGATACCTGCTGAAAGAGGGGGAATTTTCAATTATGCTTGGATGATTTTTTACAAGTACATTTCCCGCTATATAGGGAAAATCAATTAGCAAGAGTCATTTGTTTCTGAATGCAGTGGCTGGAGAGAAACATTAGTTCAGAAACATTAATTTCTGGACAAATGTTTACAATTAAAATGCAATTTTGATTCCACTCAAGTCCTATGCTGCCACCCTGCATCTCAGCCAAGTCTGGAAAATAAAGGAGCGCCTCCAGGATGCACAGACTGGGGTCGCAGCAATGGGGAGTGCTGCAGTCAGTTTGCCACTAGGGCACTGAGCCACAAAGGACAGAGCTGGGGAACTGGGATGTTCCTGCAGCCGAACCTTGATCCTTGAGAGACAAGAAATAATGGGGAAGCTCACACAGCTCTGAAGTACCCAGCCTGGGAGGAGAAAGAAGTGGCAACCCTCATCCCAAATGTGCAGGAGCACATATGCAGCCACTTGCCAGCTCACGTGGATCTAAGGTTCAAGAGAGAAATTGGAAGAAAAGAACATTTTTGTTGTGTCCGATTCAAAAAGTAACAGTTTAAGCTATTCCTCTGCATTTGCCAGGATCAGCCATGGTCAGGGTGAGGCCCCAGGACAAGCTCACTCAGACATCCCCTCTGCATACCGTGAGTTAGGGAGAACACAAAGTCAAAAGACAGCACACACAGACGGCTCATGGTGATGGAAGACAATGTGATGCAGTACCCCAGGGATTTCCCCCCCTTCCCCCCCCCCCCCCCCCCCCCATGTAGGAATAAAAAAAATAGAGGGATATAGACTTGCTTTAAAAGCAATTTGTACCTATTCCAGATGGCATTTGTGCCATGTGCTGAAGCCCTATAACTGATCCAGGAGCTGAAGACCAGAGGAAGCCCCATGCACGGTCAGCACTAACAGCTTTGCTTTTTCCAGTGCAGGCAGCACTGGAAGCCAGAACAGGAAAGTGAAACCAGTTTGTTTTCCCATAAACCAAGGCTTTAAAATAAAAGACAAAGTCAATTTTCCAAACTCGCATTCGATCACAGCAGTTGCTCATGACTGGTCATATTTGTTCGTGACACTAAGACTTCATTTCTGGGCAGAAGACTTCCTAAAGAGTCAGATACCTGAGAAATCAGGAGAGTTGAGCAAGCTTGAACAGACCAAAGGAGTCAGTCCACTTCCTTAAAGCCTCACTTCACGTCGTGCCTTTTCTACAGCACAATGAGCATTGCTTATGTTCCTGACACAGCACCTCTGCTCTCTGGTGCACCTACTCAGCCACGCTTCCTGCAATGGCAGGGCTTCCTTTGAAGCATTGCCAGGCTGTAGGCAATGGGGATCACATCCTTGTAGGTACACGCAGAGCAAATGTACTGGACATCCCTTGCTTTCCTCAAGATGTGGTGCACAGAAAGCACCTGTCTGCATTGCCTTCAGTGGGTTTTTCCACAATAAAGGTTGTTTCCCCGTTGTAGGTTACTCAACGGGTGTAAGTTCTCAGCAGCAAGGTGCGAGTACATCCAGGCACTGCGTAAATTTGCAGGAATTGTTTATACAAATAGTTTATTTGAACATTTACAGTAAAATCTATCCTGGAAAAGGTAAATAGAGGTGCAGTTTCATGCTGCTCTTCCAACATTACTGTAAATATAGACATATTTAGTAAGTTTTTCTTCCAGTGTGGGGACTACACTCCCAGCTGACCTGCAGTGGCACAGGAGGAAGAGGAAGCTTTCCAGACCTCCTGTTTGCAGAGCAATGAAACATAACAGGGCTCAGAGATCAGAAGGAAAACAAACAGAGCTCTCACTCCTACCCCACACCCCTGTTTTCCCTCCCCAGGTTATATTTAGCTCCCACCCCACCCACGGGAGAGCTGCCCGAGCACTGCAGGGAACATCAAACCTTCATCCTCCTCGGCTGGGAAAAACCAACAGAGCCACGCAGCTGGGCAGAGGGAAAGAGCAGCTCTCCAGAGGCAGAAATAGGGGCGAGGAAGAAAGCAGTGGGGCCCATCATGGTCACACATGGTTTGGTTTTTAGCCCGATTCTCCTCATCTGAATATTGCAGAGCTTTGTTCTGGAATTCAGGAAGTAATCTGTGTGCTCTGTGATGGACAAGTGCACTAACAAGCTCTCTGGTGTGAACATGTGCTTAGGGCTTGTCATCCCCTGTGAGGATGCCACTGGTGTGTGCTCACCCCGAGGCACAACCCACCCCAGCTCTCCTCACATCCACACCAGCTCTGCTGCCTACCCCAAACCCCACAGTCTTTCCCTGAAAGAACACAAAGCACCCTGAAGGTGACCTTACAGGACTATTCCAGAGCTCCTAAAGGGCATGGATACCTAATCCTTACCCATCTTAGGGGGACCACATATAAAAATGCTGTCATTACTGTGCTGAGATCTTTAACTCAACACTTTGAGTATCAGAGAAGGATCTGTGGCCACAGCCCACCTTCCTTGGGGGCACATTGTGACAGAGGGAGCTTACCACCTGTAACAGCACAGTGACCCCCCCCCGCGGTTGTGGGGGTCCCCAGGGTGGCACCCTGACCCTGGGTCATGCACGTTCACCTTACAATGCTCCTGATGTGCCTTGACAGCAGTGAGGCCACAGCAGGGAGGGGAAGGCAAGGCCTGGTGGCTTGGTGAGGAGCATGGGGGGGCTGCCTCATCCCCCAGGCTCCTCATTAAGCCTGGCTGCTCGTTAGCAGTGTGGCCAGCACCAGGGCAGTGGCTGCCTACTTCAGTCATTCCCGTAACCAAACGCAGCTCCCCAGAGCCACACCGAGCTACCTGCTCACTGCCCAGGCTCCCCAACACAGGGGACAAACACCCTGAGGAGCTGCTTTCTGACTGGCACCCAGAACTCACCACTAGCCACTGCAATCATGATTTATGGCTGCTGTCAGCCATCAGTCTCAAGGCAGCTGCTTGTGTTTGAGCTGGGAGCCAGGACAGCACAAGGAGAGGGCCGAGCACCCACCGGGAGCTGACAAGCAATGAATCCCAACCAGCAGCAGAGACTCTCCCTCATCTCTGCATCTCAAAGCCTACTCCAAGCACACTGCATCACCTTTCTGTCTTCCTAAGCCTCTGTGCTTTATATCACTGCTCCTCTGCCTGGTCCAGAGCCATCAGCTGAGCCAGAGCTCCAAATTTCACATGGGCACTTTTAACCTTTCCTGAGCAGGGGCTCTCCACATGCTGAAGCAGGGGGAATGCTGCAGAGCAGAGCAGCCACCACCCAGCCCCAGGAACCAGCGGTGCCACAGGCTGTCAGTGCACTCAGAGCCACCTGTGATGCTCCTGCAGGGTGCCCTAAAAAATGCCATAAATCCCAAGCATACCTCAGAAGAACAAGCACAGAGAAGACTGCTGCTTCAGAGGATCCAACAAGTCTTCTCATCACTGGGGCAGCTTAAATTGGCTTCCAGGACAGGGTGGGATTGTGCTCACCTGTGCAGGACCAGCCCCACACATCCTGTGCTGTAGGATCGAGCTGCTGCAGGGCTCCCAAGCTGGGGCAGAGGGCGGGTGATGCCAGTTTGCCCCAGCAGCCTGCAAACAAAATGGATTCAGGCAGAGCTTTTCCAGCCCAATCATGTCTAGCAGCACAAGCACTGCCGGGGCATTGTGCCCCAGTGCCAATGCTGGATGGGGAAATGTCCCCTGTGCCCAGCACAGAGCTGCCACTGGGGACAGCAGCCCCAAGGAAGGGCTGGCACGGGTGGGTGAGCACAGCATCTCCAGGAAGGCACCACCATGGTTTGGGTTAGGACAGGCGGATAAAATACAGAGACAAAAAGGGGAAAAAAAAAATAAAGCTGCTGTGAAGTTTGGATGCTTTGAAGTTGGAATTTGCACCTTCCAGTGAGCAGAGCCAGAAACGCTGCAAAAAGGGCCTCAGTGCTGGAAGCGCAGGGTGAAGTTGAACCTCCTTGCTGAAGTCCTATTAAATTTGCAGCACAGAAATCTGTTTAAAATCAAAGCCTTTGCCACTTGTGGTTTCCAAAAGTCACAAAACTGTTTCTTCCGCTGAGCTACAAAAAAAAAAAAAAAAGTCAAAAATAATCTTTTGCCAATCAGCCATGCTGCAGTGTCCCCAGATCACCTTATTAGCTGCAGAAAGGTAGCCTAGTAACAATATTTTTCTGCCCATTCCCACGCACTGTGTTGGTTGGATTTGGTTTTTGTAGCTTTTTTTTTTCATTAAAAAAAAAAATCCCCTTTGGAAAATGTGGTTTCATCTCAGTTCTCATTTTCTGTGGGAAGACGTCGGTTTCAGCTGTGAATCCAAAAATGAAAAAGCTGTCATTCCAAAACAGAGACTGAAAACAAAACCCTGCCCTTCCCCACAGCCCGTGGGCCTGTGGAAAGGTGTCTGCTGCTACCTCGGTACTTGTGAGCCTGGCTTTGGGGAGGGGGCACTGCCCCTCTCGCATAAGTTGGGCGTTTTGAGGTGAACTAAGAGGACAGCAAGTGGTTGGGAAGCTCAGGAACTGCTCCAGCACATCGCTGCCCTGCTGCGTGCAAGGGCTGCACACAGTGAACCCACAGCACCCCGTTTGTTGCCCCCAGCGCTGGGATGTTCAAGCACATGGGCTCTTTCTCACCATCTCCTGGCCTTGCTGATTGCTCCCTCAGGGCTCACATCCGTGGTGTTATGCTCTGAGCAAGGAGAAATTTTAATTTTCGTTTTTTATTATATATACATATATGTATTCATTATTTATATATATATTCTATTTTATTATTTTATTCATGGTACATGAAATGAGACATCTGTGGGGGTTTAGGGTAGGGGCTGATCTTCCATGAGCACTTTACAGCCCCATGGAGATCCCACTGTATTTAGAGCTGTTGGTGGCAGTGCTTGCAAGCAGGCTGTATGTAGGAGTGGAGGTGATGACGACTGTGATGAAGATAAAATCACAGCCTGACTACCTGCTTGACCCCATGCATGATTTGTGCATTTTGGACCATGCACACATGTTGAAATGCACGTTTTGCTTCCTAAAGGTTATCTGCTACACAGAGCCACCAGTATCTGGTCCTGCCACTGGGCTGCTGGCAGGGCAGGTTTCAGCATCTAGGACAGCCTTCCCAGAGGGAAAAGGGAATCCAACCCTCGAGAGCTCTGTATCCCAGCTCTGGGATAAAGCACCATCTTGAGAGTGAACATGTTAGCTTCAAACACTCATCTAAGTTGCTCAGTTGGTAAAATAGAGCGAGCAGGTTTCTGCTCATTTCAAAGAGGACTTAGGGGAAAAAAAGGCTTCCTGATTAACAGCTGCTGTTTTGTAAATGGACTGGAAGGCACCAAATGGTGACAGATCCGGCATTACAGCATCTTCAGAAGTACTCTGTGATGCCACCAGGGCATGGGAATGTGCCAGGCTGGAAGCTGCATCACCTGTGGGGTCCCAACAGCAGGTGGGGGCCATTCCCCAACCCAACTACCCCACAGCTACTGTACAGCTGCTCCTGACACCCAGGGATTTTGAGTGAATTTGGTCCAAACTATACCTGTTTGGGTATTCAGCCCAGCAGAGTTTGGGGCGAGTCTCTGAGCCCTGCCAGTGCAGCCAGGCACCAGCACGGCTTTAAACAAAAGCCAATTTCTTCTTTAATTAAAAAAATTAAAACATTCCAACCTAATCCTGCTCTTTCCAGCACGGTGCCACCCGGTGCTGGCTTTCCAGCAGCAAGGACAGCAGGAGGTTCACAAAACACACCGTGACTGGGCACAGCCCAGAGCCAGAGGGTAGGATTTGGGGTTCTCGCTCCTGACCTGCAATCATGCTGCTTGCAGCCATCCCCACAGACATTTGGCGAAGTGGCCCCCAGCTGGGCTCTGCGCTGCCACCAGCTCCTCCTGCTGCCAGCTCCCCACACCAAGGCCAACTCCTCCACGTGGCCACCCAAAGCAGCTGGAGGAGCCTCCTGTTGAAGCACAGGGATCCCTACAGGCCTCTTATTCTCAAGAGGGAACCCAAGGTCTGCCAAGGGCAGGTGAATCTCCAGGAAATCCTTCCGAAACACAAAAAGAAAACCCCCTGCAAACAGTTGAATTTTCAATCATTTTAATGTGATCACTGCATTTGACCACAGTCTCAGAAAGAAAAAAAAAAGTCACACAAATTTTCTGTGCTTAGGATTTGAGTCAATCTACACAGTTCTTGTTGATTGACGATTATTCAAGTTAAGACCTTCTGACCATCAAGTGGTGTTCTTGTCTGAAAGGCAGGATCGCAAGTGTTGCAAATATTGGTGCAAAACAGGAATGCTTCTTCTGGAATTAAAGCTGCGACACCTGATCTACTCAAAAGAAAACAGAATTGTACACGCACACACACACACACGGATCTAGCATGCAAATACACCAGGAACCAGCTACAGCTTCACGGGAAAAAAAAAAAGAAAAAAAAAAAGAAATAACACGTTGTGTCAATACATACGTTGGCCTGTAATTCAGAAGGCTACTTAACAAGGAAGGGGGCAAAATACACAAATATCAAAACCCGAGAATATTCATTTTCCAATATTTGAGAAGAAAAGAGGAAGAGCTTTTTAAATTACATTGTGTTGGCAAACTCTGATCTGTAGGTAACAAAGCAAAAGGTGAAGGCAAATTTTCCAAAGTATTGTAAAATTTATTGTATAAGTATTGCAGCTTTTAGAATGACATATAATTGCCACTATTGGTTACTGTTACACAATAAGCGTTTACAACAGATTTTTGTAAATTGGCATCAGAGTACATATTCATACTAAAACAGCAAAATATAGATAAGTACTGCATTGCATGTGCTGTCAATAGTTTACATAAGTTTAAACTTGAACAGAACTCAGGATACAGGACTGCCTATAACAAACTCCAAAGCCAAAGCAATGCAACTGGAAGTTTAAGAAAATATTAATACAATGAAATGTGTCTATAAGGCAGGCAAATTAGGACTCGTAATGTTGTCCTTCATGAGCTTCTATAGTACAGCAAAAATTTGAAGCGCAGTTTCTGGAAAACTTTTTATTATTTTTTTTTTGTAGCTTTGTGTTGTACATAGAAAATCTCTGAGCTATACAGAGACAGAAGAGATTAAAAATTCATTCTGTTCTTGCCTAGCACTGCTAATGCTACACATCTGGATTCAGTCCTTTTTCAATCCTTAGTAAAAATTTTGGGCTTTTATTTACTTACTTTTAATATAGCAGTTAGTGCAATTTTGTAGTTTTATACACATACAAAGGGTGAATTCTCCAGAAAGCAATCGGATTTCCTTATACCCCCACTTAAGATAGAATGAATTTTGTGACACGTATGGAAACAATGCACTAGATTAGTAAAGCTGATCTCCAAACCACTGAACTCAAGGGTTGTGAAAGGGGACTGAAGTTTTACCAGTGTCAGAACCAAATGAAACCCATTCTTTCTTGCCATCCTTACTGAAAAAGCCATGTTCACATTCCAGGTCATTAAGTTTCGGTGGCACGTTCAGGGTGTTGTTCGCCATACTGTATGCTAAGAACATCTGCAAGATTAACAACCCCTTTTAAAGCTAACATGACTCTCAAAACTTCGAGCAAAAAGGCAGGCTAGGACAAGAGGTTGCTAAGCGTTAGCAATGTCTTGTTTCTTCTGCTTTTGTCTAAAGTCAGTCATTCTTAAAGGCTCTGAACCTCTCTCTGCTGACGGCTGCAGATGCGGGAGACCCCTCGGAGCAGGCAGGAGCCAAGCTCCTGGCACGGGTCTCTCCACATCTGCACCAAGGCTGAAAGGGACCAAGGAGAGACATCAGCAACGGTGTGCACGGCCGATTCCCTGCCTTGGTGGCGGTACGGGACGGGGGTATTGGGAAGAAATGGACCCCGAGGCAAAAAGTAACATTAAATAGTAATAATAATAATAATAATAATAACAACAACAATAATAATAACAATAATAATAATAAAAAAGGCTAGACCATTATTTCTAAACACCCATTCAGAACTTGGAGTTGATCTGGGCCCCAGATCTGTTTTCTGCAATGGAAACACAGAGTTTTCGGGGTGGCAAAGCAGCAGGATGCAAAAAAAAAAAAAAAAAAAGAAGCCAGGCAAAAGGCAAAAATGCAGCTGCACGTCCCAAGTCCCACCGAGGGTCTGGGGCTCCCTTCCCACCGCTGCCCGCAGCTCCTGGGAGCCCCCAGCCCTGGTGGCAGCTCGGTTTTTGTGCAGGACATGGGCTGGAAGGCAGCGTTCGCAGTGGGAGTTTGGTGCTGATGAGCCATCCCATTTAACGCTCGTTAAATTCCACGTACGAGGGGAAGAGCAAATGAAACTGGACCCAGCAACTCAACAAAGGGATCGAGGAACTGCAATACTTGGGGTGAGGTTTGTGAAATGAGACTTCACACTGGGAGGTGATGGGGGGGGGGGGGGTTGGAAAGAGAGAGAGAACCAGTTGAAATTTCAAGGACTTCAAAGCACCGGAGCTGCACTGCACGCCTAGCCCCTCTCGCACACCCCTGGGTGTCTCCACGAGCTCCAGCCCCTTGCTGCCTCCTCTGGGGGCTCCGTGCCCAGAGCACTGCCACGCCACAAGACAACTCGGCTACTTAACAACCTCCGGTCCCGATGACACCTCCTTCCTCACTACTCAGTTTCAGATGTGTGATGCATATTCCACCCAAAACCTGCTGAGGTAACCATTATTTTTTTTTTTTTTTGTAGCAAACAAACTAGTTTAGGTCACAGAGCAACCCCCCCCCACCCCCCCCAACAAAACCCAACAACACTATTCACGCGTTTTGGCTCAAGAGGGCAGTAGATATTATATTTCAGTTTGTCTTTTGGTTGGTATCTCATTTACAATATCCACCACAGTTTCCTACCCGGGCAGGTAGGCGATGTGCATAAATGTATTCAAGTTACCTTACAAAGAGTCCAAGAACCCAAGTGGCAGAGGGAGCACCGCGCGCGGCTCGGCACATGGAGCTGGCTCAGCCGGGAGGGGAGCGGTGCCGGCAGCAGCAGTCCCCGCTGCAACGAGGAATTGGAAAAGTGAACGCAAGGTCCGAAGGAGCAAGAGACCAGACGCTGGTTACTTGTGACGCTAATGATGATTTTTGTTTTTCCCCTCTTGAAAAAAGGGAGGGTTACTGTTTCGTTAATAAGGCACTAAATAGACATGTTACATAAAGGAAAGATACGTCTTTAAAAACTCGTATAAATTCATCAGTTTTGTACCTTTCATGACAAACTAGTTATTCTCCTTTGCAGGACTTTTTTTTTTTTGTGGCTTTTTTTTTTTTTTTTTTTTTTTTTTAGGTTTTTAAGGTCATTAAAATTTAGGTTGCACGACTGTAAAGCTATGAAGATTTTGAGAGCTGTGAAAAAGTGGTTTGAAGTACTGAGAAGGTACATGACTATTTCTAGGCAAAAAATGAAAAAAAAAGCAAAAAACGATCAAACTTCAAGTTCAGCTATTCTTCGTCTTCTTTAAAATATATATAAATATTGTTCAAATGGTCAGAACTTCAAAACTGTTCTCATGCTTATTTTTTTTTTTGTTCAAGTAATAGAAAAGTTGCTTAAAAACAATAGTTATTGCCTTTATATCTTTCATTTATGTCACTCTACTAGATAGCATCCTGCAGAAAACGAGATCGCACCTCCTCGCCAAACCTTGGCTCCCCGCACTTGCCCTGCCCGCCCTTCCCGGTGCCGGCCGCGGCTTCTCCCTTCGGGTTCCTCACTCACTCGCTCTGTCACGTACAAATTCACCATGAGGGCAAAAACACCTACCCGAAAACATCTACGCGGTACAAAAAAAAAATATGTAAACAATAGCATAGTTAAGACAAAACGCTTCTGAAACGGAGATAAATTAAAAGACGCACGACATCCGGAGGGGAGGACGCTGGCGGGCGAGGGACGGTGCCGTTTTGAATGAAGAAATCTTCAGAAGAGGTAAAGGGTTTTTGCTTCTAAAGCATTAAGCGTTTTTCTTTAGCCTTTAGTTAATACATCACAGGAGCAGATTCGTTTCCATCTACCGTACTTTACGCCTCTTTCGCTAGGATACTAAAGCAAAAAACAGCAATGACCAGAGGCAGCCCAGGGAGCTGCAGGTTTGAGGCCCGACTGCGCGCTTCCATTCCACATACGGGTTTGGGATTTTCATATAAACCGAAAACGACTTCCCCGAACAACACAGTTTTCAGCTCGGCCTTTCAGCGAGATATCGAAACCCCCTCCGAAAGGCAGCCGGTGGGCAAGGTACCATTTACTCACATCGACTTCCACATGACTGATCTCCAAGCAGGGCCCTTCAGGTTAACATCGAAAGAAATAAACCAAAAAACGCTTTGTTCCTTCAGACACAGAAGTTTATTCTCATCCCCACCACCCCCCTCCAAAAAGTTAGAGGTTGTCCAAAAAAAAAAAAAAAAAAAAAAAAAAAAATCAAGTAATTTTTGTCTGCTTCTGCCATTACTGGCTCTCGGAAGCAGGAATTTTTATTTTATTTTTTTACCTTTGCACTCCCCAAACCCTCTTGGCTGACATGCGGACGCGCACCGACTCCTCCTGCTTTGTAGGAACGTAGGGAACTTTGTAGGGAACGCAGGGAACTTTATAGGGAACGCTGGCCTCCCGTGGGGCCGCTGGAAATGAAGGCGTTGCGTGTGATGCAGTCTGGCTCGCTGCGCTCCTCGCGGGGCTGCCGTTTCCTCCTTAGCGCTTTTTCCACCCCCTTCCAGCTACTTTGTTCTTCACTTTGACAAATATCCCTTAACGGTTGCATGGTAGACATGATAGAGGCTTTGACCAACACAAGCACTGACATATTTATATTAAAAAATAGTGCAAAATTTCAACATTTATATAAATAACTCTAAACCCCTGCTTTTGATTTTTTTTTGTTTTTTTGTTTTTTTTTGTCCTTTTTTTTTACAACGTAATACACGCTTTTTGAGTTGGCACTCAAAAAATTGCCATTTTTCTTCTAGTTCAGAAAACAACTTTTTTTTTTTGAATAGGCCTCTTCTAATACAAAAATACTCCTGCTCCTTACACATACACTTTCTCTTATTTTTAATATATATTTATATATTTATATTGCAGATCTTTAAACAAAATGTTTTTTGTGCAAATATTTTGTCTTTAAAGTTAAGTGAAATAATCAAACAAAAAAAAAAGCATTCACACACAGCTCAACTAGAAACAAAAAAAAAGGACTACAGTTGATTTTTTTTTCCTTTTTAAACGTCTAGACACAGCTCAATAAAGAAATGTTTTTGCAAGCTTTGTAGGCTTGTGCATTCAGACCAGACATAACAAGTAAATATTTATACATGGAGAGATGGGGAAGGGCTTTTTTTTTCTTTGCTCATCTTCCTCAACTCTCAATCTCTCTCCTTTTTCTTTTAATGAGAAGTGCAGAGTGTTTCATTTAACTTTCTTTTTTTTTCCTTTTTGCCTTTTTCTTTTTTTTCGTTTCCTTTTTTTTTTCTTTTTTATTTTTTTTTTTAAAAGGGGTGCCCTTTTTGTTTCTCTTTCTCTTTGTTCCACGCGGTTGTGCTCTCAAGGCCATTGATTTGTGAATGATGGAGTCTGCTGCCCTCCAAGAGTGAGGGCATCCCGCTGTTGTTCTGCTGGTGCTGGTAAAACGTCGACCCGGGGTAGTGCCCGATCACCTCGCTGTAGGTCGGCGGCGGTCCCTCCATCCTGCCATTGCTCCCATAGCAGGTCGCGCTGATGCCAGAGTTACTGCTGGGGGGGCACGGCCCCCCGTACACGGAGTTATCTATCAAGTCACTGTCGAAGATGGTTCTGTTGGGGGGCGCGCGCACCGACTCCCTGTTGAGCTCCATTTGCTGCTCGGGGTCGCGCAGCTGCAGCGTGCAGGGTCCCTGGTACGGGGGGGGCTCCTCGCCGTCCGACAGCGAGATGGTGGGGGGCAGGTCGATCTCGTGCTGCAGGTAGGGGTAGGTGGGCTGGAACCTGTTGAAGCGGTCCCTCTGCAGGAACGACGGCACCGCCAGCCGGTCGCTGGGCCTCGGGGTGTAGATTTGCTGCTGGAGGGGAGAGAGAGAGAGAAAGGGTGGCAGGACCGTGAGGCTTGGCCCCGTGGCACGGGGACAGGCGGTGTTGGTGGCACGTGGTACCCACAGGGCCCTCACCTCTGCTATCCCGTTCCCCGACACCGTGCTTTCCGACGGCCACAGGCTGCCCTCCTGCATGGGAAAGGAGAAGAGAGGCGAGGGTCAGGCTCAGCAACATGCAGCCCCAACCTGCTCCAAAGCGTTCAACCCGCTCCGGTATGAGTGGAAATACCACTGGAAATACCCTTTGTGATCAGGATTCCCCTCCGTTTTCAGCCCCATTTGTGTTTAGTCAATCACTCGCAGAATGAATGATGGGAACGGCAGCAGCACACCCCCGGCTGGAGGCTTCCCCCTCCCACCCGCGCCCACCCACCAGGTTCCTCTCCCCGCTTCCAACACGCCGCAGCGGCGTTTCGCAGTGCGGGAGCCGGGAGCCAGGGGTGGTGATTCACAGCGTACCCGAGAACGCTCCATGAACTAATGGCAAGATTAAAAAAAAAAAAAAAACACAACAAAACTCACACCCACATTCGGATGCAAGCAATCAAGGAAGTTGTGGGAAAATAAAGAGAATAAGTGAACACTCAAATGTTAAGCTCAATTTTGATTTGGCTACAAAAAAAAACAATACATCTACAGCAACAGGATGCTTCTACCGTGTTTTTTCCCCCAAAGGATTCCAGGTTCTTGCTTAAAAAGACCGAGGAGCTGCGGTTTAGAGGCTTCCCTACACTGCAGGCATCAGCCCTGATTCTGCAATCTGAACCCTGGCGCCAACAACCCGAGGCATGAAAATCCCACAAGCCAATTTCCCCCAAACCATGGGACTGGTTTACAATTCGTAATCAAAACAAACAAACAAACAAGCCTCCTTCCATTGGCTGCTGATACTGCGAACACACACAGTTCACCTTCTACGCTTTTGCCGTAAGACCTAAAATATTTAAATATTGCTAATATTCATATACAGCAACATCGCTCCGGGAGACAAAGCTGGAGGAAAACAAGCCAGGAGGCTCCTAATTACAACCCGCAGTCGCTGGCACTTCCCATCCCTTGCAGGTGAATCTCCAGTTCTGGCACCGGCAGACACGTTCACCACCAGGGGAAAGAAAATGCCAGGCACCTTTTCTTTTCCCCTTTTTCCTTTAAGGATAAAGCATCCCTTCCAAAGGCCACTCTTGGACCCAGCCTGTACATCAGGGCTGCCAACCACAGACTCTCCATCTACAAAAACACCTTTCTTACCAGGGCACAGAGGGGCTCCCCCCAAACCAAGCAGTTTCAGGCTCCCCAGCCACGAACCCCCTGCCTCCAGCACTGCTACGGAGCCCCTCTGAGTAAAGGCTCGTGTCTCATTTTATGAAATCAACATCAGGATTAGAACTGCCAGAAAGCAGTAGCTAGGGGTGGGCAAATCTCACAGGCAGCAAACAGGAATATTTTCATCCTTCCTGTTCTGGCCATGTCCCCAGCTCCACAGCTCTCCTCGCATACCTTCTGCTTCCAGAATATTTAGGACGTGAGTTCATCAGCAATGGCCCTGTCCAGAAAGCTGTGATTTCACAAAATGGAAGTTAGGTCTTGATGAGCAATATGGCTTTAAAAGCCTCTGCCAGTATTCCAGGACTCGCTTCAGAATCTAAAATTACTTTTTAATTTCTTTTTAGAGATCAATCTCCGACTTTTATAGACCCACTTGTTTGAGTAATGTCAGAGAATTCCCATTGCAAAGCTGAGTGGTGCAGATTAAGTTTCCGAGCCTTCAGGAGGACGTATTTTCCATTTTTTCTTAGGGAGGGTCTCATTACTCCAAGGGTGCAGGGTCAGAACCATTCTTATTGGGGGGAGAAAAAAGAACAAAGTATTTCTGCGTTCCTTGAAGATTCTCAGTTCTTGAAAAATATAGGTGCCCGTTACAAGGAGACGGTTTTGGTAGAACTGATAGAGCTGTGACTGAGAAGCAGGTGCAGCAATGCAAAAATTCCACGCTACCAGGAACCACATTAAAGAAAAAAACCCACACCTTTGGGGAAATGAATTTCTCCTTCAGTTGTAATTTTTGAGCTAGGAGAAGAAAGGACAACGACTGCAGCTCTGGCAGCACTCTGACCATGGGATGAACTACTTTAATATTTTAGAAGATGAAAAGCGTGTTTGGAGCTCCAGTGCCTGTCTGGTCACGACAGCCAAATGAAGTTTGGGATTTAGAAAGCCCAACACCAGTTCAGTGCAAGTTTAATGGATTGCACAAACGGGTATCTCGCTCGGCGCAGACGCTGCCTGCCGTCCTCGAAGGCTCATTTAGACTGGAGTGGTTTTCTACAAGAAGACACGCTGTGCTGAATCCCAAACGAGCCACCTTGAAGATCTTTACTGCAGCTGATCCCACTGCAAGGAGCTCCCTGCTTCGTGCCCAGAGGCTTCTCTATCCCTCCAGGAGGGTTCTGGGGCCACGAGGGAAGCTCAGCTGCCAATTCATGACGCTGGCAAAGATGGGCAGGAGAAGAGGGAGAATTATAAAGGGTGCAAACCCCAAAACCAGTATGTTCGTGTTCCTCTCCTTAGCTCTGAGAAAGGTTTAGAAGACACCACGTCCTCACAGGGGTCTGGCAGCTGTGCAGAGGTAAATCTCTGCAGAAAAGCCATTTAATTGCTCACGCATCTGAAGGCTGAATAAATAACGGAGCTGTTTCGGTGCAGGGACTGGGCCAAAAAACGCCAGGATGTTTTGGCCTAGTGGGAGGAAAAAAAGGAGGATTTTTTTCCTGAACAGTCAAGACATTTTATTTCAACCTGGAATTTTTGTTCCATTTCCACACGACTTTCTCTTCTTTCCACTTTAGCCTTCTTCTTTTTTCTTCATTTTCAAGAAAATAAAAACAGGCAACTTGAAAAAGCCTCGTCCTGGAATTTATTTGAAAATTGTAAATGAAGCATTTTGGTATTTTTCAAGTAAAACTTTCTGGAAGCAATAAAAGAATAATAATAATAATAATAAAAAAAAAGTGTAAATGGGAAAACAGTCTGCTACTCTCAAGAACTCCTGTGCCCACACTGTGCTGCTCCAGGCACGGGGCTCGTGCTGCACGGCTTCAGGAGGCAGCACGAGGCACTCGCTGCCTTTGGACACACGCTCTGCAGCTGACAAAATGAAGGGAGGTTTGATTGAGCTCAGGGTCTTCACAGCTCTCCATCAGACTGGGCGTCCTCCTCGCTTCGGCACAGAGCACCCGGTGAGGGACCTCCGTGCCCTGTGGGACAAAACGAGAGCACCCGTGGAGCAGGGGCAGCCGGCACCTGCTGGCTGGGCAGCCCTCAGTGCTGCACATATTAAAGCTGATGTTAGATCTCTCTGCTTTATAAAAGGGAATCAAAGGAAGCTCAGAGCATTTGATCATTCTCCCGGATCCGATACAAGGGAGCGCAGCTCCGCGGAGGCCAGCACAAGGCAGCAGCGCCCGCCCTGCGAGGCTGGAAACGAGAGCACGAAGCAGTGACCTTGAGGCAGCCCTACCGTTTAAAGAGCTCTAAGATCCTTCAGGGTGAACGATAAAGAAACACATCAGTACAAGATATGCCTGCACGGGAAGACAGAGCCATGCAGGCAGCAGTGAACTGTACACGCTCACCCTCCAAGAAAATTTTCTGTCTTTTCCCTGTAGGTTCTTGTCGCTGAGCTGCTGCATCCGATGAAACCTCCAGCTCTGCGTAAGCCAGCAGCTGCCGCGAGGCTGGAGGGGCTCCCCCTTGAATGCACGTTGGAGGTGCAATTAACACATTTCTCCTCAGGCTTCTGTGAACCACAGAGCCCAAGTTAAGCGGGGAATCTCCCGAGCATCCCCTTGGAGAGGTTTCTGCTCGCGTGGCTGACGGGCGTTTTCTGACACCTCCATTGCAGCAGTGACAGCACGACTTCACTTGTGACGAAAACTGGAGAAGGTCTTTCAGGATTCCCCATCCTCTTGGAGGCAGGAAGAGATTAATTCGCTCGTTTAGGACTCTCCAATCGGAGCTGCCAGCGGACTCAATACTTTGGGGTTGTAAATGTCAAGGCACATGCACCCAACAGCTGATGGTAAGTGGTGGTTTCAAGAACAGGACACACCAAGAACAGCCTCACGAGGTTACTTTGCTAATGGAGAGTCCACATTGCAAAGCTCAGGACAAAAGTGGAGGCTACAGCTGACTGTGTATTACATAAAGCACCCCAAAAAGCCAAAGGCATCCCTACATAGGCCCCACGTAACCAAGAAGACGATGCCAGGACCCAACCTGGAGGGCGTCTTCACACAGTGCTGAGTGGCACATGGGCAAACGCAACTGAGATGAATGCCTTTGGCTCTCACATTTCCCCAGTTTCACATCACTTGGCAAACAAGACAGTAAGACATGGATGAGAAGAGCAGTGTGTGACTTACTGATGACAGATTCTCATCTCTCCGCCTCCCTTGGCTGTGCCGACTGATGAAGGATCGCGCAGAGAGTTTGTAGTGGTTCAGCAGACAGGTTATCACAACCACCATCACCATCATCACCACCACGATTATGATTATCTGTACAAACTCCAACTCCGCTGCAAGAGAGAGAGAGACATATTGTGAGCCACCTGAAAAAGCAGCACTTAATTGAGTGCAAGAAGCAGGAATTTGGCCAAGCAGTCGGTGACACAGTGCAGCTGCATCCTTCCCCCACAGCGCTCCCAGACACGCATACGTGGGTTCTGCATGCTTCGAGCCCAGCTACTTCATAAAAAAACACACGTTAATTCATGTCTTCGGTGCCACAGAACAGTTTCTAGGAGGGATCTTTAGACGTGCCCCACAAGGCATGGTTTTTCCAAACTGCAATCCAGACAAGACTTCCCAAACCCCTCGCTGCTGTTCCCGTCTTAGTTTGCTAGGTGCAAGTGGCAGAGGTTCGGTGCCGAACCTGGGTGGAGGGACCACGAGCCACGTGTAATCGGTCATAACGAACTAATTCAGCAGAAACTCAGCTGAAGTCTCACTGTTCTCCCATCACCACCACTCCTCCCTCCAGGACGCACAGGACTCAAGTCCTCCTTGGCACACACAGGCACCAGGCACACGTCCCCACCACCCCCGGGGGGCTGCAGGTGCCAGCATCCCCCTCCCCAGCACCAATCCATCGCCAGCAGACCTTGTGGTTTTCCAAAAGAACCCAACGGGACCGCTGGGTGTTGACTGTGCTCCCGTTCCCCCTCACTCTGCAGCCAGCGCGTACCAGAGCTGCGGCATCACTGCTGAGAGTGGCAGCTTGAGCAGTGTGAACTGGCACAAGGAGAACTCCCAAAAATCCTCCCAACAAACAAGAACGCACAAACAAACTGGCCAGTTAATTCCAGAGACAATCGGCAGCATAAAGGAAAAATAATAATAAAAAAACACAGGCAAAAACAAATAAACACTCCTAAAATTTAAGAAAATAATTCCTCATACCTCACTGAGGCTAAATAAAACCGAGTGCCCCAGACCGACACAGCATTAGGGTCATTATTTCCATGCACCCAGAGAGCAGCTGCTGCCCCCCCGAGTCCCCTCACACCTGCAGAGCCCAGCGCTCCCTGCGCCCTCTGCAAAGGAAGGGCCAGGCCAGGGAAAACCAAATTCAACTGCTCTGGGCATTCAAAGTCTGTTTCTCGGTAGGAACAGCTACAAAAAACACTTTTGGGAACTGTGCCTTAAGCTGTCAGGGATGCTGCCCCCTGGGTTTTATTTATAAATACATTCGCAGGAAGACTGGCGGTGCCCCCAAGGGCAGCACCGCACTGCTCCCACTGCCAGGGGTGGCTTCTGCTGAGTCAGGCAGATTTTTTTCTGTTTAATGGAAAGTTTTCTCCTGGCAGGTGGCATTTAAGTGCCAGTAAAAGCAAATAAATGTCAAGAAAACAGCCCAGGTGGTAAGTGCTGCCAGTTACCTTGGAGTCCATCCTGCTACACAGCAGCTATTTCTGCCGCCGGGCAGGCGCACTTCCCACCATCCCAAAAGGTCCCCGAATGTTTAACCCGCTCCAGCCACCACCTTCCCAAAGCAGAGTGGTGCCCTGAAAGCAAGAACCGCATCTGGTACCTGCAGCTCAGGACCCCTGAGAGCCCAAAAAGGGATGGGACCGAGGCTGGGGCTGTGCACGCGGCTGCTCAGGTGCTCCTGGAGCAGGGGGCAGTGCCACCACGTGTCCCCAGCCCGGGGATGGTGACAAGGCTCATGAAAGGAGAGAGGGAGGGGTTGTCCTGTTCCACAGTCACATTTATGGCCATCCACTGACAGGACGAACAGGCCTCTGGAGCATCTGCAGAGCATCTCTGCAAGTTGAAGCCCCAGGTCGAGCCCCTTGATTCCAATTTTTTTGTTGTTTTTTTGTTGTTGCTGATTTGTTTGTGCGAGGCAGGTTTCTGCACTTGCACTGCCTCCCTGGGTAACGGCCTCAGGCTGTGTGCAAAAGACCATTAAAGAAAAGGAAAAAAAAAAAAAAGCCAAACCAAAGAATTTCGGAGGATGAGTCAATTTAGCCTTAACTGCAACATGTGCTTTGGCCACAGCAAGAAGGCGCAAGGAAAAATAAACGAGGCCAGTGATGGAAAGCTTCCTTTCTTGTTAAAAAAAAAAAGAAAAGTTACATTTCTGAAGAAAAACAAGAGGACGGCAGTTATAAATTAAAGTGCCTTTCCTAGAATGAGAAGCACGTTCAGTGAACCAAATCCTGCCAAAACAGTCAGGGCAGTTCGGCGACACAGGTGAAGTTTCGGCCCTCAGGAAGAGCCAGGGGTCACAGTGGCAGGGACTTAGAGGTGGTGGGGAGAAGGAAAACGTTTGGAATAAATACACTATTTACAGTGCCGAGCTCTGAATTGGGGCATTTCAGCGCGAATCCAGTCTGTTACTGCGGCCACATTGGCTTTATAAATAGACGGCTGATTTTAATACCTTGCTTTGTGGGAGAGGGGAGGACAATTAAGCTGCAAATTAACATTCTGTAAACGGGTTTGGCAAAGCACTTCGGAATGACAAACCCTACCAGCTCCCATCTTCTGGCCCTGGCCCTGTCACAACAGCCACATTCGTCTCCCTTTTCCTTCCTTAGCAGGGGAAGCAAACACCTCAACCTCTGCGCAGAGCACACCTGGGCTCCTCCAGCACCACAGGCCAGGATCTGAGCGTTTTGGTGCCATACACCCAGCCAGCACCACGAGAAGCACATCTGCCCTGACATCGTTATTGCTGTCACTGAAATGGAGATTTCCTCTCCTTGCTGTATTTGGAGTACACCAGGCAGCCAACCCCACCAGGAGCCTCTAATCCCCGCACCAGGAGGTGCTCAGGGAAGAGTTTGGGGCACCCTCTGCCCCCAAACCCAGCCCCAAACGAACAGCACAGCATGCGAGCCTATGAATAAACACATCAGGTATGCTGAGAGGAGCTTTAATCGCCCCGGCAAGAACACTCATGTTGCCCAACGTGGCCTTTCAAAAAAAAACACAAAGGAAAATAAAGAAAAGAAATCAAACGCAACCAAAAAAGCTCCACGCACAATTGGGGCTTTTCAAGTTTCAAGAGACTCATACCCACTTGAGGCATCAAAGTTTCTGCCAGCTCTCCCTCTGTTTTAACTTGTCTGCATGGGCTTCATTTTCAGAGGGGAAAAAAATAAAACACACCACACTGGAAAGCTGGATATGCTCGGTAAGATTTTATCCAAGCAGCTCAGTCAAACTAATGAAGAAAGATCATTAAAAAAAAAACAACACACACAAACTTTGAGTTAATATGTTATTATACAAGTGCAATTCAGCTGCTATGCTAATAAAAAGCCTTTGGGGAATGAAAAACAAGCCAAACTGCAAAGCACATAATTTATAATTCTACTGGTATTCTTAAAACACACACACACAACAAAACAAGAAAAAAAATACTCAACACATTTTGTATTTGGCTTCCTAATCATTGTCACTTTTCAATTAGAAGAGACCTCATTCCATTTCTCTCTGTAATTTTCCCCAAGGGAAGTGTTATAAATGCACTCGGCTTTACAAGATGGGCAAATTCAGCCTCCGAATGCAAAGTAAGGTCACACTAATTTAATTTTGCATAATTTTTACTCCCGAATAGGTTTCAAACTAACAGGTTCAGACATCCCATTTAAGTGACACAACCTGCTTTGCCGTAGTTCCCGTCTAGACGCTGCAGCTCCTGCAGTCGGTGAGCACGCACGCACCCCTGCTGCAGCCAAGCCTTCTCCCCCCAGACTATCGAGGTCCCGAGGCTGGGTGTTTGTGATTGAGCCCATTCCAGCTCGGGTACTCACATACCGCTTCGAGGCACGCGTGGCCTCGGATGAGGGCTTCCCTGCAGCCTGCAGCGAGACTGAGAGCAAACCCTAAAACCCTGGGGGCTGCGGGTGCCGATGCGCCGAGGCATCCTTTGGGCATGCCGGAGGCAGCCCCCCCCGGACCACGCTTTGGGCTGGGCAGAAGCAGGGCCAGAAAAGCACACCCGAGCTTCAAGAGCCTGGAGTGCAATGAACAAAATGCCAGCACCGGCTGGTTTAACGCTGCTAAACCTCAGTGGTCACGCTGTGAGCACTGAGGTGCCACCCTCTGCACGCACACGGGTGCGCAGCGGCCGGGGGCAGCTGAGACCGTGGGGTACTTTAACCACGCTTCCTTACCTTTTATGACTTACTGAAGGTGATAAAATGCTTACTATAAACTTTACGAACGCTCTTCCCTCCTCGTAGGGTATCACTGCTGCAGATGAACGCTCCACAGCACCGCTGGGTGTGCAGAGAGGAAAAAAGGACACCTGCACTGCGCTGGGGTAATGAGGGATGCTCCAGCTACTGCTTACACGGGAACAGCACCGCTTTCAGACAGGGTCTGAGCCAAGAAGACCTCTGCCTTCAGAGAGGTATAATACACACCCCCAGGTCAAAGCAATTGTCCGTCAGCTTAAGTTGTGATTTCTGTGTATATTGGTATCACGTGAGAGGGGATGAGAAATGAAATTGCTCAGGACATAATGGCTGAGCTGCATTAGCCACCATTCCTAAGCTTAAAACAAAAAAAATCATAAATGCTGGGGTGAACCGTGCTAAAACTGCAGCTGTTTTCCGAGACAAAATTAAACAAAGCAGAGAATCCCCTGCAGAACACTTTGCTTCTCCCATGTTCACTTTCGCTTCCTCTGGGTATTTTTATCTCTCAAAACCCCTTACTTGTGACTTGAAGCACATTGCTGGGACACTTTGGGCAGGATGAGCCTGATCACAAGCTCGAGCAGACCAGCGGAAACATCCTCCTAAGGGTGTGCAGGAAAAATTGCTGCTGCTGCTGTCGTCCTCTGGCAGTCACCTGCCCAGAGCGAGGCCACACAACCCTGCTCACAAGCTGGACACAGCGAGGTACCTTGCTAACAGGCCTGGCTGCTGACGGTTAATTAACCATCAGGGAATGATTACCTGGGAAGGATGGGATGTGCACCTAAGCTTCTGGATGCTTCTGTGACTGTCCCTCCTACAAGAGTCCCAATATCACTCATTCCACCTGTGTTCTTCAGGAC